CATGCCAAAATTTTCTTAAAATGGGACTTTTCTGCAAAAAAAAAAAAAAAAATTATTTGTGCCAATTTTTGGAAACTACACAGACCTAAGCTCTCGTATTATAGTGAGGGGTTACAATTAGGGACTCCTTTCATCTTTGGGACTTTGGGGTCAATTGGTGCATCTTCATGATACCGAAACTGAAAATCTCTCTAATTCTGGAACTGTTAATGCTAGAGACCTTTTGTTTTTTGCATTTTGAATAACTTGTCAAGTACAATACTGAAGGTGGTGTCCATTTTTGTTTTTGGTACGGTTTTGGCATTGCACTATACCAAAAAGTACAACATCACAATATTCTGTGGTGAAAATAAAATGTGAAATAACATTAGCAGAGATACGGCCATAGTTACTATTGAACTTGAAAAGTAAGTCATATACTGGCAATTTAACTATGACCTTGAAACTGACCTTTAACATTCTTTTTTATGTACAGACACAGATGTGTCTGTACATATTGCCATCACCTGCGTCTGTCGTCGCCGTCGTCGCCGATGCCGATGCCGGCGCCGTGCACTTTCCTTGTTAACACGATAAGTGGAGGGCAGTTTTACTTTTTGGCTTTATATTTACAGAGCTGATGAATATTCATAAAACACAGGTCAAGTTCGAAAATCAGCATGATCGGGCCATTATTGTAGAAGTTATGCTGTTTTTTCACTTTTCAGCATATATGCAACCCTGTTAACACATTTTAAGGAAAACCGATAGGCCTGTTGTCATGAAACTCACAGGAGTAATCAATCTTACTAAAACACAGGTCAAGTTCGAAATCGGCATGATCGGGCCACTATTTTAGTAGTTATGCTGTTTTTTCACTTTTTAGCATATATGCAACACTGTAAACACAATATAAGAAAAACAGATAGACCAATTGTCATTAAACTCACAGGAGTGGTCAATCTTACTAAAATGCAGGTTGAGTTTGAAAATTAGTATAATCGGGCCATTGTTTTAGTAGTTATGCTGTTTTTTCACTTTTTAGCATATATGCAACACTGTAAACAGAATATAAGAAAAACAGATAGACCAATTGTCATTAAACTCACAGGAGTGGTCAATCTTACTAAAATGCAGGTTGAGTTTGAAAATTAGTATAATCGGGCCATTGTTTTAGTAGTTATGCTGTTTTTTCACTTTTTAGCATATATGCAACACTGTAAACAGAATATAAGAAAAACAGATAGACCAATTGTCATTAAACTCACAGGAGTGGTCAATCTTACTAAAATGCAGGTTGAGTTTGAAAATTAGTATAATCGGGCCATTGTTTTAGTAGTTATGCTGTTTTTTCACTTTTTA